TTATGGAGGCTTGAAAGATGATCATGGCAGATTGATATTTCAACCACTTGGGAAGATTGTTTGTCTAATTCAAATCACCATGAAAATATTTTCTTTGAGTGAAAATAAAAAGAAAGGAGAAGAAAGAGATTTTTTTGATAAGAAATACATTTTTCTTATTGAAAATCCAAGTGATCTTCATGCTCTTAAGTTTGTTGAAGTTCAAGACTATTGAATTCAATGTGATGTTCTTGATGTTCTTGAAGTTCATGATAAGAAGATTCAAGTTGATTCTCATGAAGATGATTTTTTTTTTGCTCAATTGGAGTTCAAACCGATGATATTTTGGGTTCTTGTGATTCGTTTGAAGGAATGATTCCTTATCGAAAGCCATCAATTCAAGAAATTCACAAGTATCAAACTCCAAAAGATTTGATCACAACTTGCAAAGTTGAAGTTGTCAAGAATGAAGTTGTTCTTGAAATCAAATCTTCAAGATCCAAGAAGATGAAAAGGAAGAAAAAGAAGAAGAAGATCAAAAATAAGAACAAATGGGTTTATTCACAAAAATCTTCAAATGTTGTTGTGGAGCCGAAATCTATGAAGCAAATTTGGGTTCCAAAGCAACAATCATCAAGTGTTGCAATGAATTTGAATTCAAAACCCAAAGTGTTGATGGTTCTTATGAAGATGGTGTTAGATCGTTGAAGAACACGAAGAAAGAGTTGTACAACACGCATCGTGGGTGGTAAAATGTTCAAATTAGAGATTTTCTTGTTCCAACAAAAGAACCAAGATCTTCAAATTTTGATTCGTTCGTTGCAAATAAAACTCGAATCGTCAAAAAGGTATCTCAAAATTCTCAAATGGATTCCAAAACGTTCATGATTTCGATTCGTGCTTTGTGTTTTTTCATTTTTGATCGCTTTGTTTCATTAGGTCTAATCCGTTTCAACCCCATTGATTGATTCAATATATTTTTTTTTAAAGATTAAGCCCAAATTCGAAATTAACCGTTCATTAATTAATTCCAAGTTGAGCTCAAATGTTTTACAAACACTGTTCATCATAGACTTTGTTTTAGCCCAAGTCAAAATCCATTTCGTTACACATCGTGATTATCGCATCTTTCTTTCATAGTCGAAAGAATTTGAAGTCCGTCTTGTTCGATTGTGATTATTGCTTATTCCAAGTCGAACATAATTTCGATTTGTAAGTTGTTAGCTCCGTGGCTAAAAATTTCGACTTGGGATGTTATTAGTCACGAACACGAAATCGTTTTGGAGTTGACTGATTGGAGTCGTACTTGGATTAGAGTCGAACGAGTTGTAGATGATTCGAAATCGAAAGTATTTTGGAGTGGATTCGACTTGTGGATTTGTGAACAATTTGGAAAAGCTACGGATTTGGAGCTGATGTCGATGTCGACCAATTTTGGGTTTTATAGTTGAACTGATATCGAATGGTTAAAGGTCACAATAGAATTTTGATCAGTAAGGCTTCGTTATAGAGTATAGACTGTTTTGGAATCGAATGGCTTGGAATCGAATTCGATTTGGGAAAAGGGTTGATGATTTGGATTCGAAGGGTTGATGTTGATGGTCAAACAGACTTCGATGTGTGTATCAGGTAGTTCGACGCATTGAGGTCGATAATCCTTGCTTAATGTCGACGATTGAAGATTTGGGATCAAATTCTATAGGTCGATAGTCAAAGGCTTGGGGTTCCCAATCGACATTAGATGTCTCATGACAGAAGGAGTGTCTTATTTCGAAGGTTGTTGATCGACGGTCGATTTGCGAGTGACTTGGAAGGTTCGATTTTGACGGTTCAAAATGGGTAACTTAGGTATCAATGTCGATGGTCATAACCTGATGTTGAGGTTGAGTGACTGAAAGTGAAAGATATGTATTCGATGTCAAGTGTCGATTTTAAAGACTTCGAAATTGGGTCACGGTTTGGAGTCGAGTATTGAGATTCGAATGGGAAGGTGATACTTGGTCGATATTGATGTCGATAGTCAAATGGGATTGGTTGATAACGAAAGGGAAGAAGGGTAATCGAGGTTGATGTCGAACGATTTGGCCATGGGTAAATCGATTTTGACTTTGCTATGGCCAACACTCATCTTCGTTTCTACGCATCTGGTAACAACTGGGAAGAAAACAAAAATTTTCAATTCGAATCCCTGAACTTCCAAAGAACTGACAGTTTTAGTCCAACTTCGAAATGGAGATAAAAGTTTGTGAAGAATGAAGAATTTTTATGTTGTATCCCTGAAGTTTTGAAGTATTAGAAAATTTTACCCATTTTCGAAATTGGGCTGAAAATTCTGAAACATGGAGAATTTACATATCAGGTCCCTGCAGTTAATGAGAATTGACACTTTATGCCCAGTTTCACAATTGGGGTAATGTTTCACTTTTGTGACTGTTTTTGGCGCAACGGGTCCCTGCTGAATTCTGATTTTGGCAGTTTTTACCCGGATTTTCGAAATTCTTGCAACTCTCACCCAAAAGTTGAAAATTTTCACAAAAATTGGAAATTTTTCATGACTTTTTCGTGATTGTTTTTTCATGCAAGTTTTTCATAGTTTCATTTTTGGCACACATCAAGGGGGAGATTTGTGAAGTTTATTCCTCGAGCGCTTATCAACCTTAGTGGGTTTTATAATCACTTTTTGATTATAAAAAGGGGGAGAAATGTAGAGTGGGTATTCGAAGCTTCTCATGTATTCATTTGCGGATTTGAATACCGGTATTACTTCGAAGGGGAGTTGGTCTTGATCGTGCGAGTTCGTTGGATATTGAAGCCGGAACATCCAATCCTAACTTTGAGGGGGATAATGTTAGGATGCAAAGTCACTCTTGGATGTCATGTGTGCTTACTCCTTTGTATGTGTGTAATGAGTTGTCTTTCCTTTATAAGGAAGTGAGTGAGACTTATTTTAGGAAAAGAAGAACTTTATGAGAGATTAGTTTAGAGAGAGAATTATTGCAAACACATTTGTACTCTTTCTAAAAACTAATGAGAGCTAAACCCGAATTTATTTACTCTTGTGTTCTTCATGTTCATGATTCTTGTATGATTCACTAAATCATTTCATATTCCGCATTCGTCATCATGATTATCACCACTACAAACTCCTCGGAGAAAACATTAGGAAAATTGCATACCACCGGAACATCAGAAGCAGACTCTTCAACTCGAGTATCAACCACATATGCCAAAAAACCCATACACCCATGCTGCAAACTCTTCCTTTCCCTGGCAGCAGAAGAGAAGGCTGATCCCGATCTAGTACCCTCGCCATAGATAGTCAACACTCCCCTACTAGGATCCCGGACTGTCGCTAACTGACGCTCACAGTCGATAAGATCCCCAAACCGGCTCAACCAATCCATACCCACGACCACACAAACATCCCCTATCGGGATAGGAATGAGATCAATCGGATATCCTACACTGAAAATCTCCAGCAAACAACCCCGGTAGACATCCGTAGCTAAGACAGGATGTTCATCCGGTATCGATACCCTCAAGGGCTTGCTCAAGGCCTCCGGCAGAATGCTAAAACTGCGACTAAAGGATGATGACACAAAAGACCGACTCGCGCCTGAGTCAAAAAGAACAAGAGCAGGCACATAATTCACAAGGAACGTACCTACACAATTGACAATATAAGCAACCTAAATAAATTAACAGAAATATAAAGAATACATACCATCCACGACATCTGGAGCTGCATGGATCTCCTCTGATGTCAACTGAAAGGCTCTGCCTCGAGCCCTCGGTGCCTCGGCCTTCCCTTGTCGGCCGTCGGTAGGGGTGTTCAAAAATAACCGTATCTGAAAACTCGATCCGAAAAATCCGAAAACCGATCCAAAAATATCCGAAAATCCGGATATCCGAAAATCTGAATATCCGAAATTCGGATATCCGGTTATTCTGATTCGGATACGGATAGCGATTTCATAAAAGTTCGGATATCCGGTATCCGAAATCTATATATTAACTATTTTTAAATACTTTTCTAGTTTGAAGGGTCCACTTTAAAAAGCCCAAACCCAAAAGGAACGATGTTGGTACTTGGTAGGATTAGGTCACAAAACTAGAAATCTCAGTTCTTTCCAAACCACAGCGATCAATTCTCCTCTCGATTCTGCTCGACCTCAATGCCTTCACCCATCGAATAGACAAATCTTCAATTTTTCCGAGAGTTGTTGATACTAGACACAGAGCTTCACAATTAGTAAGTTCTGCTCTTCCTCAAGAGCAAGGATCGAATAGAAGAATCTTCCCCTTTTCTGAGTTCGACTCATCCCCTTTTTAACCGGTTAGCTACTAGTATAGGACATTCCATGTTATGTAATGCTTTTCTTTTGCTCTGTTACTAGTCTACTACTATACTACATCATGTTTTTGTAACTATATGTTTTTGTAGCTATATGTAGCTGTATTTTTGTAGCTATATGTGTAAATAAGTATGATTCTTTCTTTCTGATGTTTTTGTAGCTGTATGTGTAAATAAATATGACAGACTCTTAAATGATACTTAAATGTGTTATGGATGAAAAATTTATATGATACTTAAATGTGGTATGAATGAAAGATTTAAATGATACTTAAATGTGTTATGAATGAAAGATTGGTATAACGAATGTGGTAGACTCTCCAAAATGTCAAATGATCACACTAAAAAACCACGACACTTTGGAGTTTGGAGCATTTAAAGAGTTCATTAACTATAAACATAAATAAGATGAACAAAAATCGTGAAGTCCATCAAATTTGTTTCAAGATCATTTATTGGAAAGTTAATCTTAAATGTGCCATCTGTGTATGTAGTTTATTGACCTTATTCTCATTACAGTAATGTAGTTTCTTTTCCCTCATTTATTGGACAAATTAATCTGAAATATACCTGATTTTTCTCACGATAGTAATGTAGTTTATTCTTTTAGGTAATGTATTTTTTTTGCACTAATATCAATGTACAATATCCTTTTCAGATTTTCACAATGGACATAACCAACGATGGTACAGTTACATCCGAATGCGAGTTTGTGTCTGAAAATGAGGTGGCGACAAACACAAAAAGGAAAAAAAGAAAAAATCAAAAGGGCTCAAACAAAAAAGATGATGCAAAACCACCCCGTCCAGCTCCACCATCTACAGGTGAAGCTCCTGATCACATGAAGAAAAAAAGATCTATTTGGTGGAAACATTTTGAAAAAACTGAAGTTGTTGATGTTGCTGAATGTATACATTGTCATAAAAGGATCGGTTGTGCAAGCGTAAATGGGACTACACCTTTGAAAAACCACGTTATTGGTTGCAAACAGAATCCAAAAAACATAGATAAAAACAAAAACTCATTGACCTTGAGTCCAAAACACGTATTAGTGACGATGGTTCTACTAAAACTACTACAGTTCCTAGGTTGTGGGAGTTCAACCCAGAAGTTATCAGGAGAGCACTTGCTAGAATGTTGATAGTTGACGAGCTGCCGTTTTCTTTTGTTGAGCGTGAAGGTTTTCGTTATTTTTGTAAGGTGATGAATGCTCATTTTAATGCCCTTCACGTTCTACCGCTACACGAGATTGCTATAGTACTTTCATCAAGGAAAGGAAAAGGTTGTCGAATATTTTTGCAAATTTGTCTTCCAGAGTATGTCTTACCACAGATACTTGGACATCGGGACAAAATTTAAGTTATATGTGTTTGACTGCACACTTTATAGACGACAATTGGCAGTTACATAAAAAAATTATTAATTTTTGTCCAATAGTTGGTCATGCTGGGGTCATAATTGGTAGATCGGTCGAAAAATGCTTGATAGAATGGAACCTAAAAAACATTTTGACCGTAACGGTTGATAATGCTAGTTCAAATGATTTAGCTATTAATCATTTAAAAAAGGTTTTTAATCATTGGGAAAGTGGTGTTTTGAAGGGATATTTTTTGCATATGAGATGTGCGGCTCATATCCTAAATTTGGTTGTTAAAGATGGCCTAGATGATGTGAATTTATCAATAAAGAAAATCCGTACAATTGTGAAATATGTCAGGTCATCTCCGGCGAGGCTCCAAAAATTTAAAGCATGCATTGAAGAGGAGAAAATCGAAAGCAAGAGTCTTGTGTCCATGGATGTCGATACACGCTGTAATTCAACTTTTTTGATGCTTGAGAGTGCTTTGAAAATTAAGAAAGCATTCTCAAACTTGCTTCTGAAAGATTCAAATTGTGAGAAAGAGTTAAAAAAGTGTGAAGGTGGTTTGATAAGTGGAGCTGATTGGACCAATGTAAGTAGTTTTCTACCATTCTTGAAAATATTTTTTGATGCAACAAATAGATTTTCTGGTTCCAGGTATGTGACTTCTAATTCTTATGTACAAGAAGTTTTTGGAATTGGTCATGTGATATATGGTTTTACTAAGCATACAGACATGTCCGTTAAGACCATGGCACAAAAAATGCAAAAGAAATATAAGAAGTATTGGGGGGATGCTGATAAGTTAAATCAATTTTTGTTCATTGCTGGAGTCCTTGATCCAAGGCGAAAATGGAAATATATTGAATGGGTTGTTGCAGAAAATTTTAACAAAGATAGTGCTGCTATTTTTCTTATCAAACTAGAGCACAACATGCTCTCTCTGTTTGATATGTATCATTCTGCCATGCCTCAAAAGGAGCACGATGAGGTCTCATCCATATCTTCTACTTTTGTTTCTAATGCTATGTGGGGGAATGATGTAATGGACATTGATGCAATGATGACAAAGAGGTTTGAAATGGCTATGGGAAGTTCAGAAACTACTACAAGGAAAACAGAATTAGACAAATATTTAGGGGAAGATCGCGAGCCTATGGACCTACATTTTGATATATTAACATGGTGGAAGGTTCAAAAATGTAGGTATCCCATTCTTTCTAAGATGGCTCGAGATATTCTTGCTATTCCAGTTTCTACGGTTGCCTCCGAGTCGGCTTTTAGTACAGGGGGACGAGTACTTGATTGTTTCCGGACTGCTTTGACTCCAAGAATGGTGGAAGCATTAGTGTGTACACAAGATTGGACACATACTTCTTATAATCCTGTTATGGTTGATGATCTACTACTTGAAATAGAGAAAATCGAGGAAGGTTAGGTTTAGCTAATTGTACTTGTGTTTATTGAGTTTCTTTCAATATATAATTTTACCGTTTTCTTTTTATTTTGACCTATAGGTTTGAATGACTTAAATTTGGAACAACCGACTATCATTATTGATGAAACGGTTGATGAAACATCTGGAATCACTGATCTGACTTGAGGTATATAAATATTTAGATGTTCCATTTCAGCTATTTAAATTATGCCAAACTATTTTTTAATTTGAATATGTAATCTATTATTCTATACATATTTATGTTTCTAATTTTGATTTCTATTTCTTCTAAATTGCAGCTTTAAATAGTAGTTGTGTAACTAGTATGGACCTCTGGAGTTTTTTGTGGTGGTAAATATGGACTAGACTTATGGACTTAAGCTATTTTTGGTGGTAAATATGGACAAGACTTATGGACTAAAGTTTTTTTGGTGGTAAATATGGATAAGACTTATCGACTTTAAGTGCTTGGTTTGGAATTTGGAATGTTCTTTGCTACTGTGAAGCGAATGCCACATTCTCTTTTGCACTTTTTCTTTTGTTGCTTATTAATATCGTGGCTATATAGTAAACACCAAGCACATAGGATTTTTATATAACTTCAATATTATCTAATGGTTGTACCCTTTTTTTGGAAAATATAATGTAAGTATTATACTATTATCTAATGGTTTGTATATGACTTTAGTGATTGTGTTTGGTTTTAAGTTGATTCATGTACGTAGTAATTTACTTTAACCTTTATTGTTTGGTTTTGAGTTGATTCATGTGGTTACTTTAATATTTATTGTTTAATGGTTGAATATTAAAAAAAAATCAAGTGGTTAGAATTTTGGATATCCGATTCTGGTATCCGTATCCGTATCCGAAAATCCGGATACGGATACGGATACCAGAATTCACTATCCGAAATTTTCGGATATCCGAAGTTCGGATATCCAAATTTCCGGATATCCGGTTTTGGACACCCCTAGCCGTCGGTGATACGCAGAGTCGTTGGGGCGGGAGTCTGAACCGCCATAGATGCAAGTTGTGGACAATCGGCCTTCACGTGGCCAGTCTGATTGCAACTGAAACAAACTCGAAATCCATTGGGGCATTCCCTAGCCAAATGCCCCTCCTTGCCACATAGGTAGAAAGCCTACCCGGATCAACATGAACCCTCGTGAACCTTGTCGTACTTCCCGCAAGTGCGGCCCTTTTGGCCTCCAGATCTCTGATCAATGGGCTTAGCCTGCTTGGTCACCAGTTGCGACTGCACTGGCCTCCTATCCGTGCACTGGGCCTCTCTCTCCTCCCTAGCCTGAGTTTCCAGCTCGATCTCTCTCCTCCTGGCACTGGTCTGAAGCTCAGCCAATGTCCTATACATAGTGTTCGCCACAAACTCCCTGATATCCCTCCTCATAACACTCAAATACCGGGCCACACGGTCCTACTCCGTCGATACCTACTCAGGGCAAAACAAATCCCTCACATGGAACATCCTCGTGATCTTAGTCACCGTCTTTGTCTTCTGCTTGAGAAACAAGAACTCCTGGGCTAACCTTTCCCGCTCAACCACGGGCACAAACTCATCCCTAAACATCGCAGTGAACCTCTCCCAAGTCATTGCAACATGCTCTGCAGGCTTGTAGTCAGCGGTCACAAATTTCCACCAGTCCTTCGCTCCTAAGCGAAGTAGGTTTAAAGCAAATCGAACCTTCAGATTCTCCGGACAGGAGCACGTATAGAAACATCCCTCGACATAAGAGATCCATCTCATAACGGCAATCGGATCCTGGCTCCCATCAATCTCGGGTGGCTTCGTGTTGGTGAACTCCTTATACCACAACGAATCACCCCCCTGTGGCCTCGCAGCAGCGAGTGTTGTGGTGGCTGCGGAAACAACAGCCTTAGAGACAGTGGCATAATGCTTATCAAAGGTCTCAATCAACATGGTCTTTATAGACCTAAACATCTATAGAATAGCCCTCGGATTACTGCGGCCACCTCCGCGGAAATCAGCATGCGAATCTCATCATCACCGGCACTCAACCTCTCAAGGTCGCTGGAGCCTGAACCTCGGGTAACCACCATACTGAAAATCATAAGAAAATAATCAGAAAATATATCGAGATCACCCTCGAAGCTATAGATCCGATGTTTTTAGTAGTACGGGCCCAATACTACCTTCCACACCAATCCATATTCGTCTCGGGTTACACCCTCGATACCCCAAGAACTCTACCTCCTCATAATGGCTATGGACTCATCCTACTGGTTCTTGAGAACCTCAACATACGTCTATATACTAGTTCTAGACCACTCCCAACACTGTTCTACCTCACGCGATATCCGCTGCCCTAGCCATTTGCCTCGCGTATGCCAATTATACATAGTACGAGACTCGATAGACATTCAAATAAATGATCCTACCTCAATCCACAACCAAACAAGGAACAGCAAGAAAGGCCAAATCATTCATTCTAAGGCTATAGAATCCTAACTATGTACAACTTATAAGACATACACCGCACAAATAATTAAGGCAAATTTGATCTCAAAAGCAATGAATTCCTAGGCTAAGGCATCATTAATCAGGCAACATACATACTGTTTCAACAAGATTCCTTAGCCTACACCTAGCTATCATGCAATTCTAACTTCTCATGATACAACACTCCTGCTTAAAAATAACAATGAGGTATTTTGGGAAACTACCGCTCGAGCGTTGGTCGATTGTACACACTGCTTCTCTGGGTTTTTCCTTCTGTAAAAAGTGTTCATTTCTTGTAAAGTTCTTAAAAATTTTCAAACCCTCAGTTTGAGTTTCGAATCACCCAGAGGTTCATCCAAATCCCTCAAACCAGGGCTCTGATACCAAATTGTAACACCTCAAATTTTAGACCACATTTTTCATTTTTAAAACCTCCAAAAACATAGTTCACAACCAAATATCAAGTACAAGTCAATCCCAATACTACATGTATCATAGTTATCAGCGTACATAAAAGATCATGTCTCAGTAGTAAATTCCCAATGCGTGTGTACAATCAGACCTTCTCCTTACCATGGTCCTACGAAGTACCTGCCACATATAAATCAACAAGTGTAAGCACAAAGCTTAGTAAGTTCCCCAAGATAACACATATAACTCAGCATAAATAAACAGCTATGGGTTATCTGCAACCCTGGGACTATCAGCAGTCTCAATGAGCTAACAGCATGCTCGAGAAGTTATCAGCAACCCCTGGTTGGCTAGCAGCAGCCCCGGCTAAACAAATATCATATCATCACATAACATAGCATAACATAACATAACATAACATAACATAACATAACATAACATAACATAACATAACATAACATAACATAACATAACATAACATAACATAACATAACATAACATAACATAACATAACAGCTAGACCCAGCTGATCATAATGTTACAGCTATCCTACCACACAGGTAAGAGTAAGTGAGGAGACTCACCTGATACTGATGACACGAAAACCTAGCACTCGAACTGCCGGATCTAGACTCCGCCTAGTTAACAAAATAATTAACCTTAATTTAAAAATTAAGGTCTAAACCGCTCACGAGTCCAAAGTCCACAGATAAACCCACTAAGGGAAAAAAGGACCATTTTGCCCCTCCCTAGGTCCAAAACCCTAAACTTTGACCAAAAGTCAAAGTCAACAAAGGTCAACAGAAAGTCAACACCCAGTGAGTACGTTGGGCGTACTACTCCCAATGTTGGGCGTACAAATGAGCAAGCATGCAACGGGGAACAACTAGGCTACGTTGCGCGTAGCCAAGAGTACGCACAGCTACTCCCCAGAATTCCAAATCCTTCACCAAATGTCTTAATCCGTTAAGACATTCATCCTAACTTCTAATCTGACTAATTTTAACATGGCTATGGGAGGCTAGAACATCACTTCACCCATTTCAAACTACTTTACCCATGCATTGGACACAAGGGAAGATCAAGCAAGCATTTTTATCCATCTAGATGCCCTAAAATGCATGAAAGGACAGCCAAAACTCTCTGGAGAGTCACAAACTCGAAAAGGTCTAAACTTGAGGACTTAAACTCATAAATCTTGCACAAAAAGAGATATAAGAGAATACTAGCCAAGGTACAAGATTTATACTTGAATATGATGCACAAAGGTGGGGATTTTCTGGATCTCTAAGTTGGATGGCACCTTCTTCTTCTTCTTTTGTAACCTTCTTCTTCTTATTCAAGGGTCAATAACCACTCAAACTTGCAAAAACACACACTCAAGCTACACACATGAAATTAGGGTTGTAGAGAGGGTTGGAGGTTGATAAGGGTGGCTGGAAATGAGTCCATAATGTTTTTTATATAGGGATCAACTAGATATTAGGGTTTTGCATATGAGCCTAGTACGCCCAGCGTACTAGGTGGCCTCCGTGTTATGCATGGTGCATGAGTACGTTGCATGTACTCATGCGTACGCCCCACGTACTGACTTGCCAAATTATCATATAATGAGGTTGATTTTGACATAAAAAGGGAAAGATTCAAGAATAAGAATTGTACCTCATTTCGGGATGTTACACAACAGATGGCACAACAAGGTTCCCTTGTTGCTCCATATCACTCCCAAGTGCTCTAAAACTCTTCCAGATGCTCCAAACCCCCTTCTATATGATTCGTTCCTTTGTCAAATGCTCCATGAACCTCAAGTGCTCCATTGAGTTCCAACTGCTCTAAATGCTCCATGAACATGATCCAAATGCTCCATGTTGGACAAGACTTCATACCTCAACAATCTCCCACTTGAAGGCTTGAACAGCTTCATATGCCATTCAAAGTATTCGTCATTCTCTTAATCTATCTCCCTCTCTATGCCAACCCCCATCCTCAAAATCTTGGAAGGGCAGCTACATGTCTGGCTTCAACTTTTCAGTGGTAAACACCTTAGTACATTCATCTGCTAAGTTCTCCATACTAAGGACTTTCTTCAGCTTAGTAGCCCCTTGGTTCATTGTCTTGAACTCTCTGGTCAGCCGCATCTTAAGCTCATTGATCTTCTGCGTGTTGGAACCAACAATCAATGCGTCATCAACATTTAATATGTGGATGATGTATGAGGAGCTTAACTTCTTCAAGTAACAACCGTGATCAACCTCACATATTTTGAACGCGCTCCTCT